GGCTGTGCCATCAGCAGGCCCGGGGGAACAAGTGCTCCTCAGCTGCACACAGACCCCTTGCATCACACTTTTCCCAAGCCCCCACTGATCTGGAGACTACACCATCGACACGGGCACACAGGAAGGTGTAAAACAACTTTTTATTCCTCCAATTGGACCAATCCTGACACAAACAGACAGACAGTGCCAGCTGTTAGTCAAAGAGACCGAAGCCCATGTCCTCATCGGACTCCTCGGATTCCTCCTTTGCTGCCTCTTTGGCTGGAGCGGCAGGGGGGGGCGGCGGGGGGGGCCGCCCCGCGCCTTTTTCCGCCACAAAAGCAGAGGGGTCTGCAAGGAAGGCCTTCACCTGCAAAAGGAGGAAAAGAAAGTAAACTCACAGGAAGTAAACATTTTGAAGGATTGAACCTTTACAATCATCAAGGCAACGCTTGCGGCTTGCCAGAAGCCAAACAGATGCACTCATCACTGCCACAGAATCCAAGACGTTTCAGCTACACCCGACTGCAACAGCCCCAGGGAGGAAGGAATGCCAGGTAACTCGGCTTTCTCCTGCCGTATGTACACCACAAATGGAAGCTCACACCCCTCCTCAGATCCCTCGCACACAGCCGGGTCTGACTCCTTTCAAACCAGGTGACATGCCAGGTGCCTCTGTGGAAGTGCCCCGCTGCATTTGTAATGCCCTTGTGAGCTGCAGATCTCTCAGCCATTACCTTTTCAGCCAGTGGGAAGGTGTAGTCAGTCTCCACGGCCACAGCCAGGACCCGCTTGTACCCATTGACAATGGAGTGGGGCACAGAAGCGATGGTCGGGTACCCAATTTGCAGACAGACGCTGGCAACGTTACGAACACCCTGCGAGGACAGAGACAGATGTTACCATGCTCTGAGAAACAACCTGGGCTAGAAAGCACGGCAGGGGATAGCTCATCTCTACACCACTGATCACACACAGGATCGCTCGGTTGGAAAAGACCTCTGAGATCATCACGTCCAACCGTTCCTGTCTACCCCCTAAACCATAGCCCTAAGTACCTCATCTACCCGCTCTTTAAACACATCCAGGGATGGTGACTCCACCACCTCCCTGGGCAGCCTGTTCCAGCTTCTGACGACCCTCTCAGTAAAGAACTTCCTCCTTATCTCTGACCTGAACCTCCCTTGGCACAGCTTGGTGCCGTTTCCCCTTGTTCTATCCCCCATCACCTGGGAGAAGAGACCAGCACCCACCTCTCTACAACCTCCCTTGAGGCAGTTGCAGGTGGTGATGAGGTCTCCCCTCAGCCTTCTCTTCTCCAGGCTAAACAAGCCCAGTTCCCTCAGCCGCTCCTCATCAGGCTTGTTCTCCAGAGCCCTCACCATCCCTGTGGCTCTTCTCTGAACACGCTCCAGAATCTCAACATCCTTCTTATAGTGAGGGGCCCAGAACTGAACACAGCACTCGAGGTGCAGCCTCACCAGTGCCCAGTACAGGGCACTGCAATGAGGGCCAGCGTGCAATGCACACAGGTAACAGCTCCAGTGCCATCAGACAAGGAGGAAAACGGCCTCGAGTGCTTTCTTAAGTAACTTTGGACAAAAAAGCCCACAAAGGTACTCCTTGACAGACAGTTTCTGCAGGACCCCACAGAAAATACCAGAGACGACGTTCACTCTAGGGCAGTGCCAGCTGCCACAGCAGCTGGGCAGAAGAGGTGGAACAAAACGGATGCAGGTTGTGGCACTCACCTCCAGGAAACGCTTGTGCAAGGTCTCCTCGGTGATGTCCAGCACTTCAGGATTGTAAATGCTGCCATTGTCAAAGACCTGCTGGATCACCAACCCGAAAGAGAAGGGGGAGATTTTTAGCAGGGTGGCTTCGCTGGCACCCACTTTGTCTCCGGTCTTGATGAGCTGCACATCGCTCTGAGGAATCAAAGGGAAAAGGAGTGAATTAGCGCAGAAAACACTTCAGGCCCGCTGACACGATGAGAACACAAACACGTGCATTCAATGGCAGGAGATGGAACTGAAGGAACAGACCAGCACAACAGAAACAGGCCCCAAGTTCAGCTCCCCAAGTGGAAAGCCCTAGACCACACGAGCAGGTACATGGAGCAAACAGAACGGCAGCGCCCACCCACACCACTGAGCTCTGATGGACATCCCCGCACTGCACAGCCGAGCCAAGCCAGACGCCCTCCTTCGAGCTCCCCAAGTCACACTGCTGATGTGATACCTCAGCACTAACAGCAGCTTTGATCTTTACAGCTCTGTCAACCACCACGACCAGGGCCCTCCAGTCAAGGAAAAGCTTTAACAACAGCCACACGCTGCTCACTCACCAGGATTTCGATGGTCCCTCTGGAAATCTTGGTGGTGATGCCCAAGGCCTGGAAAAAGGAGGTCTTCTCAGGCCCGAGACCCGTGTTCTGGGCTGGCACAGTCACATCACAAGGAGCAATAGCGCCGGCACGGGCAGCTGCTGGCACCTGGGGTAAGGGAAAACAAGAAGCTGGAAGAATGCCCACCTCTCAGATGGGATGGCATCAGCTCCTTCCTGAAGTGTTCCTTCGGGATGGACGACACCCAGACACACGCAAGGGAGACAGAAGTTGAACGTGCGCAGTTTAGCGAAGGCTGCAGGAGCAATTCCCAACCCTTGAAGTGTTCTAATAATCAGGTATCCCCTATGCAGTTTCAGTTTTCTTTTTAATGCTGCGTCTGCCAGCCCAGTGACACAGCGAGGGCTGATCTCCCCTACCTTGTTAGCCAGCAGCATGTCCCGGATCTCAGTCAGATCCTCCTTGGTGAAGACAAAGCCCACGTTCCCACGGATGTGAGGCAGCAGCCTGAAGGAAAGATGACAGATTTCAGTTCTGCTGCTCACACAACTTCTCCTCCTCCCAGATAAAGAATCCAGGAGTAGGTTCAGACAGCATTACCCACTTTTCTAAGGCAGGGTTATTCTCCAGGTGACCACGAATAGCTTTGCGCATCATTGTATTCTTCCCCATCAGCACAACTGCTTTCCCACGCAGGGACATACGGATTTGCTGCATCTGTTTGGATCCCACATTGTCTGCTCCCACAATGAAACATTTTGGGTAATCATCCAGGAGTTGCTATAGCAAGAAAAACACTGTAACTACACACAGAAATCTGCACCCGAGCAGAGCAGCAGTAAAACCTTAACGTGTTAAAATGCAAAACCGATCCGTCAGAAGTCTGAGAGTGCTCAGCTCGAACTGACGCTGGGTGCGCCACAAGGCTGCACCTTTCACTCCTCTATCCCATCAGATCCCTAAACAAGCTCGCTTTCTGTAACTGCCGCTGCCAATTCTCACAGGAGCCTTAAAAGCGGCCTGATCTGGAATATTTTAATCTCTTCCTATTGACACGTAATCGTTCCTTAAACGACAACCTACGGCACCCCCTCCCTTCTATAAAAACGCCCCCCAGCACCGCTCCCTGTCGGCCGTGACGGCCTCCGAAGCCCTGACGGCAGCAGCGCCCCACGAGGCCCGGGCCTTCTGGCCAGGCCTCAGCCCTCCGGTGCCGCGCAGACACTCACGATGATTTTCATAAAGTAGTTGGACTTCCACGTAGCCCTGTCTTCCCTGGGCATCTCTGCGGTGCTCCAAGGATCGCCCGGTTGGGTTTAAAGACGAGCTAGGACCTGCCAAGGAAAAGCGCGGCTCAGACGGGTCCGCATCCTTCCCTT